CCTGCCCCCAGCCTGCCACATCTGCTGGTTATCACTTGCCAGAAGTTACCATCTCCCATAGTCTGCTGTGGAGCAGCTCTTGATAGGGTCTCCAGCCTGTTCTACTCAAACTGAGCTGAGAAACCCTTTGCTAACACGGTTAATGTCCTGAAAAGGTAGAATGTTCGTGGGGCGAGGTGATGGGTAGCTTGAGTAGCCTGGGAAACGCCAGCGCTCCCATATGCAAGCTTCCTGGAAAATGTGTGTCTGTCAGGACCTCAGCCTTAGCCTGTTCCATGCTTGCAGCTGTTTAACTAGAGCACAAAGAACACGATGATGCCAGAGCTCTTTACCTGCCTGATGGGATGCAAGGCCAGTATGGAGCTGGGAACCTACTGATTCTGTAGTTTCCGTTTCCAGAGCTCTAGGCTTTTTCTTGCTCCTGATTAGGTAATTCTTTTCACCCATGCCTATGTGCTTCGGAATGTTGGATAGAAGTGTTGTAAAGCAGAAATGAGGAATCTTTTCCAAACACCCCTGCTCAGAGCCAAATCGCAAGACTGCTGTTAAACTGAAAAGTTTTGCTTTGTCTAGTTTGTTTACAAGGCTGCCTGGAGCCTTGCTGCTGTCCCAGAGGTTGATGGGTGGGACAGGCTCCAGGCCTGCTCAGATTCTCTATGTTCACTTTTATAGTTTCGCAGTATTAATAAAGTTTTGTACTGAACTCAAATTCTTCTTTGATACAGAGAGTGGGTGCTGTGAGCATTCTGCTGAACTGCTTTTGTACAGGGGAAGAAGTTACTGACCTTTCTGCAAGAGGGCTGAGAGACCTAGAACAGTGGTGGAAAGGCCAGGCGTAGCGTTGTGTCTACAATGGACCCTTCCAGGTGGGATGGGTTGCATTATAGGCTGTATCTGTGCATGGGTGCTGCAGTCGGTTCTCAGGCTGCTGTAAGTAGGCTTGTACATCAGGGATTTACTTTGGGAGGGGGTGTATTGCAGTAAAGTCTGCCTGTTCACCAACACTCGGCATGCTGGTGCTACCCCTGTGAACTCTTAGAGAAGAAAAGAAGCAGAGTTCAGTGTGAATTTGATTTTAATAACGAAAAGGAAATGTATTGGAACAATTACAGAAAGTAATTCACAGGCAAAATGTCTAAATCATCATAGAAACCTTTCCTCTGTGTGTGCAAAATTTGCTGCCTTTAAAAATAACACGTCTGGTCCTCTTAAATGTAGTTTCTATTACCTCTTTCTTGTGCCTGTTCTCACAGGCAGTAGCTTTTTCTGCATGAGTGTCTTGCTGCGCAGGAGACCTAGACTAGATCTTCAGAGGACAGAAAGGTGAGGAAGATGCTGAGAACAGCAAGCTGCTTCTGCTGATTCAGAGTTCCCAGGCTGGCAGATGCCGATTATGGTGTAGGGGAAAGTCCCCACGGCACTCCGTAGGGCAAGAAAAGGAAACGTCTGTAACCCAAGAACTGGCTTCTGCCGCCAAGAGGGGACGGGAACTGCACCAGAACGGGAAGTAAAAGCGGGAAGTGAATGTGCAGCATCACCATGTGAAGAGCCCGTGCTTCTGGTGCCTGCTGTGGTCTCTTGTTCTCTGCCAAAAGCTACCAGGCCAGGTGGTCAGCGCTTGGCATGAAGCTCCCTGCAGCAGAGAGGCCAGCCTGGAGAAAGAATCACAATTTGGACAAAATGCCACAGCGTGGCACATAAAGGGAGCCACAGTCACCTGCAAACTCTGACCCTTACTGGGGTTTTTTTGTTTGTTTGCTGTCCATCCAGTAGGGAATATAGGAAGAAAAATTACAGAACTTGGCATTTAATCTAGTCTTAGGTAAACAGCTCTGCTACATCTCTTTAATTATGGCATAAAAACATTCTGCTAGTAAAGCATATTCCTTGGGCTCATAGCTGAAATCTGGACTGCCTGCAGTATTGGATATTCCCTGTAACAGGTACTTGAAGTTCAGAAGTGGGGAAGTCAAATTCAAAGGCTGTATCTTTAGACGGAGCCCAAGTTTCGTATCTGAGGGGACTCTCCTTTCTAGAGCCAACATTGCACAAGACATTGGGGGTGTGTTTGCTATGGTCACAGGAATTCATCTCTGTGATGAAGCTCTTGGAGCTTCTCTGGATCATATTTAACCTACTCTGAGCTGCATCCTAGAATCTACTGCCAGGTTTTCAATCTTCTCCTGATTCCAGACCAGTTCTTTCTTGAACCACAATGTGATAAGGGAAAAAAAAGACCAGCTGCCTGCAGCAGCTACTTAGCCGCAACCTCAAGCACCACTTTTCACTGTCTGCCATCATCTGCAGCAGTTCCCTCTGCATGAACAGTAGATGAGTCTTGGTGCATTGCTGGTGAGCTGGGCCCTCTGCTCCAAGCCCAGCCTTCCCAGCAGCATCAGCTCAATGGCCTGAGAGAAAAGCACTCACAGGAGGTTGACCCTGAAGAGAGATGCAACTCCTGACTGCACGGGATGCAGCAGCTGCCGGAGGCCCAGGCCCCTCTGCCACAATCATGGTGAGTGGTAACATTTACAATCACTGGAAGGAGGAAAACTCGTGACCAGCTCCAGCTGGCCATGTTGGGAATCCCAGACTAGGTAAGTTGTATGAGGACTGGGGGCACCACACAGTATACTGGCTTCAGAATTAAGGTGTCATTTCCATTAGAGTAGTTCGGTCCTGTCTCTCTGGGATGTCACCTTTAGAAAGCATCCAAAAATCAAGTCCAGCTTCATCCTGGGAAGCAATGGCCAAAGTAGAAGAATGCTCAGTAACTGAAGGTGCCCAATCATCTTTAGGGGCAACACTGCTCCCTCCTACTGCCTGGGAAGGAGTTGAAGCAACTGTCAGGCCTGCTCTTCTCCCCCATTGGAAACATGCCGGTAGCCAGGGGGCTGCGACTGTATGCGGAAGAGTACAGTCAAGAGGAGGATTATAAGGAGGAGGAGAATGGATCCACACACAGCCAGACCCACAAACAGTTCTGCAAGGGAGAAAACAAGTGGTCAACATGGTATCGTCCACGCATTCCCCTTCTGCCACGCTCTGGTCCAGCCTTGGCTCACCTGTGTCGTGCATGCCGCTTGCTACCTGGCATTCTTGCTCCCAGTCCTGGGGAACAGCAGGATCTGTGAGTTCCAAGAATCTCTGCAGTGGGCATTTATGCTGACAGCCAGGGACTGTCAGTGGGAAAGGTTCCTTCCCACTCTCATTCCGGAAAAACATCTCCACAGAGAAATTACTGAAAACAAAACACAGCTAGATGTTTTTTTTTTCTCCAGCTAAAGTCATCCCTTCCCAAAAACTCAGTGTGCACACCCTTTTCTTTATTCTGATGGTAGTTTTCCTCCTAAGAGTCTGGCACTAGGAGCAAGATTGCATCCCCCTAGGGTGGAGCCTAGCCTAGGTGCCTAACCCTTGAGGTGAAATTACAGCAGACGTCTTTACTGCAGCCCTCACCCATCATCCTCTTGGTACAGCTCAAATAAATGACATGAGGCGTATGGTGCTTGAATCTTGTTGTAGACATCTAGAGCCATCTGCAGTGCCACAAGTGTGGTGTCATGCTGAGAAAGAGGGAAAAAAACCACATCAGTCACCCTTACGGATGGGGCAGGGCAGCTCAGACCATACCAGTAACGGACAGGGCAGTGCTGAGGGGACGTCACTTTTGTCACTTCCCTCTGGAAGAAAGGAGAGGAACTGTACTGCTAGCATGGTGATCTGTGATGGTGCCAGAGAAGGGATGAGGTGAAACACAGCCATATGTATGCTGCATTGTTCTTTAAGAATTAATCTCTAGGGAGCAGTTTGGGAGAGATGCTTGACTTCCCAGTCACTAGGGTGTTGGAAAGCGGGGATGACTCCATATCTACACTGCGGAACACATCTGAGTAGCATCAACCCATCTACCAAATAAATACAGCAGTGGCTCCCCAAAGCCTGACAGTCTCATCCACAAGGAACAGAGCGCAGGCTGGGAATTTTCCTCAGAGGCCCCAGAGGAATGATGCCAGATCCTGCACATCCCACCCAGCCAGAGGCAAAGATGCGTGTTCTGATCACTGCATGGGCTGTAGAGAAGCCAGAAAGGGTTAAAACTATCACCAAGCCCCAATCCCCTTCGAGGAGGAGGAGGAAATGGATAAAAGCTAGCCCCAGGCTGTGACTTACTGCTGAATAGGCAAGTAGTTTCAGGTTCTGGTGGGCAGAAACATTTGCTGCTTTGGTTAGGTTTTTCCTTATGTGATCCAGCAGGACCCCTGAGGAAAGGGAACTACTGTTAAGAGGCAAAGACTAGACAGAGCAGCATGAATCTCCCTCCCCGGTGCACTCACCGCCTTGCAGACGAGCTTTTTCGACCCGACTGTGGATCCCAAACAGAAATTCAAAACCAAAGTCTTTTAGTTGCTTCAGTCGAGCCATGACATCTGGTGTCACCCACACAGGCAAATCCATTTCGTGTGCTTGCTAGAAAGAGAACAGAAGACTCATCTGCAGGTAACATGGATCGCAGATTGATCAGAGAATGGAAGTCAGGGCGCCTGGAGTCCTGCCCATACTGCTACTGATTTCCTATATTATTTTAAATATGCCCCTTTTCTATTTTTGCTTCTATCGTCACACTGCTGTACTGCATGCAAAGAATACTATGTGGGGTTTAATGTTGTTTCAGAAACTAATAACGAGAAGCCTAAAGATTAAAATCTAGGAGTTACATTTCTGTGAAAGCATGAGTGGAGTGGAGGGTTATGTCGTAACACCGACACAATAATCCTCGGGCATTTACTTTATGTGTGGCTGAGTATGCCCTGCAGATGGCATGCAGTCAAAAAAAAAAAAAAAAAAA